TCAGTTGTCATCGCTGGGATCTGTTCAAACCGTCGTGCGATGTTGTTTTCAAATTTCGCTCTCGTGTCCATCGAAGATAATATCTCCCATTTGATTCTAAGGTAGTTTCTGCCACCAGATCTTCGTACGGTTCTCCATTTCTTAGAGGACAGCGTGCTAACAACAAGTGGTGATCGGTTGACAGTTCTGCACCTGTCCTATGGCCGGCTGCACCCATTACATTGCATCGTAATTCAGACGATACGATTACCAAATCGATAATCGACTTCTGTGCAAAAGCTTCCCGGTACCAAGTGTATTGATGCACTCTGCGATGCTCGAAGATGGAATTCATAATTTGCAGTCTGTTGTCCGCACATAACCGCAACAACTTCATGTCCTTATTGTTGAGGTCGCTGGAGCCGTTTTTTCCATTCACTCCTTTCCACTTTCAGTGTTCACGTCGACTTGCGCGTTAAAATCACAGATTAGAATGGTGGATTCGGTGTTCAGCATTTGCTACAGGTTACTGTCTACTTCCTCTAGGAGGGACTCATATTCTGCCTCAGAATTGTGCCTATAGGTCTGTAATCAGGTCAGGGCTTACCTGACAACTTCAGATGGTGGACTGTCACTCTTCTGCTGGCTGAATCCCATTCTGTAATTCCGTCGGTTAAGTTCTATCTGGTCCTACCTGGGCACCACTGAATAATCAAAATGTCGACCGCTTCTGCCCTCAGATGTTCGAAACTCCAGAGCCTTGACGCTTGAGCAGAATACATCCATATCCACTCGACACCTTTTGGACTGATTGACCAGGCACAGATCTTTTCGTTTGAGGGAACAGATGATCAGATTTATACTGTCAGCTTTCACCGTCGGTATCCTTACGGCGAACCTTATGTGCCGTGTCATAATCACACTGGATCGTCTGCTTCCTCCTTTCAGAAAATTCCGTTACTGACTGGTACTTTCCTGAATTTGTTGACCACCCTGGGCAGCTGTTGTTGTGTTGTAACCACGGGCTGCCAGAGGATGATGAGCAGGT